TCAGGCTATGGAGCTAATTGTTGTTGCTATTGGACAACAGAATACTTTGTTGGCTTAGATAGAGACCAACCAGGCTACAGCTGAAGCAGCTAGGACTGAGGTACCTGATGAGTATAGGGGCTTGTCAGAGTTCAGAAAAGGGAATCCTCCTCAATTTATAGGTGTGGACGGGCCTGAAGTTGTTGACTAGTGGATTGAGGAGATGGAGAAAATATCTATGGTGATGCATTGTCCTGAGGAGAGGAAGCTAGTTTATGTTGTTTACATGTTGGTGGGTGAGGCTTGTTTCTGGTGGAGGGGTGCTCAGACTATGATGCAGTAGAGGGAAAGTGGTAAATTGGGAAAATTTCAAAAAGGTGTTCCTAGAGAAATATTTTCTAGATAGCGCCAGGTATGCTAAGTTTTTGAGACTGTAGCAAGGAAATATCTCAGTACAAGAGTATGTGGTCAAGTTTGAACACTTGGCTAGATATTATTCTCAAGCTATCACTGAAGCCTGGAGATGTAGGAAGTTCAGTGAGGGTTTAATGTATGAGTTGAAGAAGGCTATTGTTCCTATGGGAATTGTGGAGTTCCCAGTTTTGGTTGAAAACACAAAAAAAGTTGAGAGATTTGAAAGAGGAAATAGAGTGGAAAAGGGTCTAGAGGGATTATCTAGATTTGGAAGGGGGAAACATCCCTAAAAGAGACCATCTTCTTTTCAGAAGAGGAATGCTAATAAGAATCCAATCGGGACTACTACTACAGGAGCTGTTCAGAGTTTTAGATGTTACAGATGTGGAGGCCCACATATGATGAGGGATTGTTCTATAAAGGATTATGTGTGTTTTAAATGTGGCAAGGTGGGTCACATGGCTAAGGATTGTAATGTAAGAAATGCTCCAGCTAGACGGAACTAGAAAGTGGATCGGCCTACTGCAGCAGGTTGTGTCTTTGATTTAACAGGTGCTGATGAAGCTGAAACGTCATCTGAGTTGGTAAAGGGAAAGGGTAAAGCGGATGGTAATGATATTTCTATTCTATTTGATTCTGGTGCTTCATATTCTTTTATTTCTTATGAATGTGTGGCAAGGTTAATGTGTGGATCTAGTCGTTTCTACTTCAACTTCAGGTTCTGTTATGACTTTTGAGGTTTGTTTGAAATGTCCAGTGGAAATGGAAGGACATTGTTATAAAGTGAATTTGTTTTGTTTACCTTTATCTAATTTGGATCTGATTTTAAGGATGGATTGGCTTTCTGCCAATAGGATTTTGATAGATTGTTCAGAGAGGCGATTGATCTTTCCTACTGTTGAACATGAGAGATTTATTTATAGTGGACAGGTGGATGGTTTGTTGAAGGGTGGAGCTCTTGGGTTTATGATCTTATCTTTCATCAGTTTAGAGAATGAAAAATTGTTGAATAGCATTGATGTTGTTAGAGATTTCCCAGTGGTTTTTCCGGATGATGTTCCGGGGTTACCACCAAAGCGAGAGTTGGAGTTTAGTATTGATCTTATACTAGGGGCGGGACCAGTGTCCATTTCTCCTTATAGAATGGCACCAGCGGAGTTGTCTGAATTGAAGAAGTAGGTTGAGGAGCTTTTGGAGAAGCAAATGATCAGACCTAGTGTATCTCCGTGGGGAGCACCTGTGTTATTGGTAAAAATGAAGGATAGTGGTGTGAGGTTATGTGTGGATTACAGGTAGTTAAATAAGTTGACAATCAAGAATAAGTATCCATTGCCAAGGATAGATGATTTGATGGATCAACTAAGGGGAGCTTCTATTTTCTCGAAGATTGATTTGAGGTCTGGGTATCACCAAATTTGGGTAAAGGAGAAGGACATACCAAAGACTGCTTTCAGGACTCGATATGGCCATTATGAGTATGTCGTTATGCCTTTTGGAGTGATGAATGCTCCAGCTATTTTCATGGATTATATGAACAGGATTTTTAGACCCTTTCTGGATAAGTTTGTTGTGGTGTACATTGATGACATTTTGGTTTATTCTGGATCTATAGAGGAACATAGAGAACATCTGAGGATAATTTTATAGGTATTGAAAAAGGAACAATTATTTGCAAAGTTGTTAAAATGTGAGCTTTGGCTATCTGAATTTAAGTTCTTGGGTCATGTGATTTCTGCACAAGGAATTGCAGTTGATCCTACTAAGGTGGGAGCGTCCGAAATCAGTTACTGAAGTTAGAGATTTTATGGGATTGGCTGGCTATGGTAGAAGATTCATAGAAGGATTTTCTAAAATAGTTATGCCTTTGACACAGCTGACCAATAAGGATCATTCTTTTGTATGGACGGAGGAGTGAGAGAAGAGTTTAAAAGAGTTAAAGGAGTGTAGACCCCTAAAATTGCCCGGGTCGGAAATAAA